TGTCAGAAGACTTTTCCCACCAAGCGTGGGTTGTACATGCACTCCGCACACATGCACGGGTATCGACCCAAAGTACGGTATCTCGCCGGAGGCTCTTTTTGCCTCGTGTGTTGCAAGGAGTATCATGTTCGGCCACGGTTGATGCAGCATCTTCGATATTCGCATGAGTGTGCCAGGATTTTGCTGGAAATCTTTCCGCCTTTACCTGTTGCGGTGGTGGAAGAGCTAGATGAAGCAGATCGGCAGCTTAGTGCCCAGCAGAAGGCTTTGGGATGGCAGGTTTAAAAAGCACATCTCCCAGCGATGAAGGTCCCCTCGGCTGCGCTCCCGCCAGTTGGAAGTCCCGAGGCACGAGCAATGTTTTGCAAATGCCAAGTGGAGGTTGATAGTTCGCCTCCATGGTATAATGTAGAAGGTGTGAGGACTGCTGTACAAAGTGCTCCTGAGCCTGTCATTGTGTCAGAATCTGCCCATCTTTTCCAACAAGGACGTGGCTTTAACTCTGGGACAACTGGAGTCCTGCGTCGTGAGTCGGTGTCAGTATGGGATGCCCGTGTCTCTATCAGTACAGTTGTTTTTGTGCATCTATTCTCCGGTTTTCGAAGGCAGAATGATCTCCAGAGCTGCATTGAGGCACATACATGGGTGCACAACATCGAGACGTTTTGTCTCAGCGTAGACCTCTGTCTGCAAGGAGCCGAAGGGGATCTCTTGGATCCGGTTCGTATTCGCTGGTGGAGGGAACGCATTTTGTCTCGGCAGGTCATCGGAGTTGGAGGAGGGCCGCCGTGTGAGCCTCCATCTGGCGGCTTAAAGAGATCAAAGAAATGGCCACTGCTGATTCGGTGTCAGTGGTCTCCTTTGACCAGTGCGTGTTTGGCGCAGCTGGAGTGAAGCCAACTACGCTGATGCTGGTTCGGATGGAAGCTTTCAGGGAGATTGCCATGCAGTTGGGTCTGAGAGGTAGATGTCCCCATGGGCCTGGGGCCCATGTCGGTCTCGCTGGCAAATGCCAGGGGGCTTTTCGAACTGCACGGGCTAAAATTTATCCTGAGGCCTTGAATGCAGCCCTGGCAGAAGCTTTTCACAGCTTTGTGTACCGGCTGAGTCCGGACAACGCAAATGCTGGGCTGCCAGAGGAGTTCCTCTCACTCCATGCGGCATCCGCTGTGGAAGAGCCCACTCACGTCCAGCCGGACTTTCATGGGTGAGTGGTGCCATGATGCTTGCTTTTACCAAGAGTCTCACTAGAGCTCAGTACTCGCGAAAGGAAAGGAGGAACAGAGTTGTCTCATGTTGTCTCGGTTTTGGGTCTCAGTTGTCAAATTGTGAAGCTAGATCTTCACCTTGTTTGGGGCACTTCTATTGATCATACACTCCATATAGAGGGCATCAGGTGAGCGGTTGGACCTACTTTTGCAAGCAAAGAATCGAAGGTCTGCCACGACCCCAGAGGCATGCATGTGGAGTCGAATAGATTATATATACCAGGACCTTCCCAGTGACCGAACTTGAGATCCCAGTGGCGGGTCGGTCACGAAACGGCCTTGAAAAGGTCACTTACCAATACTGAAGAGGTCACTGGGAAGGTCCTGGTATATATTATTCTATTTTCACGAACGGTTCTGCTTGTTTCGCCGAGGTTTACACTCCCCAAATCAAACGTACCCCTGGCAGCAGTGAGGACCCAAACTAACATATCCCAAACCTCTCCGGTGTTTCCTGGGGAATTGCATGTAACTTTTGCTTTTCGGTAGCTTCAAGAAAAGGTCCAAAAACATTGCTAACCTGGCCTGGGGCAACCATGCATATTGCAATTTTGGTCAAAAACGTGACCATTTTAGGGGGCTATGTTAGTCCGTGCAACTAGGAATTTTGCCATTCTGGAAGAATCAATGCCCCTTTTGGAGGGCTATGTGAGTCTTTGCACGTGCCGAAACAGAGTAACATGGCCACCCCCAAATGAATACAGTGAATGAGACCCATGATAGCCATGCTCCTGGTGCATGTGAACAGTTGTTCTTCAAAACCCAACCATCTGAAGTCTACAGTAGAGCTTCCAACATCTTGCTTCTTTGAGGGATATTGGTGATGAAACTGTATGTATTTATTTCGAGAGAGAGAGAGAGAGAGATTTTGGATAGGTTTCAAATCTGATTTTGGATAGGTTTGAATTCGCATAGGGATGCATAGGGATGTATCTTGGCAAACATGTGAACACATGGACATGTTAGCAGCCCCATGGTCGCCCAGCCGCTTGGAGTCTGGAGCTTCCAAAGTCTGACTTGTTTAAGTGGCACTCAGGAATACAATATAATATAGTAAAGAGAGAGATAAATATTGGATATGTTGGGTATGTATCTTGGAAATGATGTGCCTGCATGGACATGTTAGTCCTGGTCTGTCCGGATCAAAGTCAACCCCCAAAACACGTCCAGACTCCTAACACGTCCCTCTGTCCCCCTCGCCAGCCACCACTTCTGCCATTTCAGAGTCATGAAACTTCAATTTTCCCGGCATCAATTAACATGGCGGCTTCCATGTCGGAGGATTTGCAACACATGTTCCCCTGCAGACTGTTGCTAACATGTCCTCCTCACCGATACCACGTTCAGGGCATGGGTCACGTTCAATGCTTCTCCTAGTTGCTAACATATCCTCGTCCCAGACACCAGTTGTGCCAGTTCAGAGTCATGAAATTTGTCAAAATTTCCCCCAGCATCCACTAACATGGCCGTTTCCATTTTTGACTTATCCCTGCGGAATCTTGCTAACATATCCTCCTCACAGACACCACTTGTGCCCTTTCAGCATCTTTCGACTAACGTTGCCCAAAAAAAAAAGAAAACCCACTTTAGGGGGTTACGTTTGATTTGGGGAGAGTAGAGATTCTGCATGATTTTCCCTGTCACTCCCAGGTCACAGCTCGCGGCTGGCCGACGAGACAGCCGAGACAGCCAAAAGACGTACGTCAGTGTCAGTTGGGTCCAGCAGATCTAGGTCAGTCGGTGTGTGATGGAAATAGGGCAATCTCCTAGACTAGAGACCCTCTGGACCACATCTGGGGTATGTGCTGGACAAGTAACCTGAGAGATCCAAGATTGGAAAAGCTGAAACATGCTTTAAGGAAGGGCTCCTGGGCTCCTGTGCCTCAGAAGATAGAGACAGACCCACCCTTATGCTCCCCCAACCACCGAACCGAAACGGAAGTAGTTGAACCTCCTTTTTGGATGGTCGAACGGAGGTGAGTATGCACTTCCAGAGAATAATCGAACATGGGGTCAAAGGACATCCGGGAATCCGATTCGCTCCTGGACCCTTAGGGCTTGAAGGAAGGGACCTGCAGTTGATTTCCCCACCTTTCTGCCAAGAAGTCTCGACAATCCAGTCGGCAAGGCGTCAGAGACGTGACATAGACCTTCAGCTTCTGGATCCCGCGTTGTGCTGAAGGTCCATGGCTCGGAATCGGTTGGAGTGGAATGAGTGGAACGGTGGAACGGTTTTTTGTTTGTTTTACCAATCCTTTTGGAGTCTGGAACATCAAATATAGGTTGACAAACCCAGAGTATCCATCAACTGGAATATTGGCTTACATTGACCCATTAAACATCTTAAAAGTCATGCTTAGATGTAATGTTTTATCTGAAAAGTTAAAGAGGTTGCAATCCAGAAATATGATTGGTATAGGGTTATACACACATAATAGATTGGTAGGGATATACTCCAAGGTCTGGAGTCGCGCCGATTTCATGGTCATGCTTTCGTTGGCCCAGGGATTTGTTCAGGTACCAAATTGGGTAGATCCCACCAGCAACCGGGGGCCCGATGCGGTTGCAGGCCTTGCCTTTCTCCCAAAGAGTGCTCATGTTCCACCGGCTAGTCATGGCATACTCCCTCGATCCGCCTGGCTGGGCGCCGCCCGACCCGGCGTGAACCTGAGAAGGCAGTGAATCGAGACCAGGACCTGGACCCGACGGACGGTTCCGACCAGCACCGGGACATGACCCGAAGCAGCAACTGGTTTGAAGCCGTGACACATGCATGTTCTGAGGTACGAACAGGACGACTCCAGGATACTAGACTGGTTGAAATCAAGACTTTGAATGCTTTGACCTGAGAGTCCATTCATGACACACTCCAAACCCCACCCTTGCAGAACCCGGCCTGGTAGTGGTGGATGGATGGACTTCCAGATGGGGTAACCTCAATGAGTCATTGGAAGTTCTGGGGATTGATGAATGATTTTTTCAGCTGAGACTGTTCAAGACGGGTTGGGGAAATCCAAGAGGGCATGGCATATAGTGATGAGTTCCTTGAGACTTCCAAATGTGTGGGAGCCAACGCTCAGCTCAATTCCTCAACCACCACTTGCTTCTTTTGCATGAGTTTATCCGGCTTCGTGGGTGCAGTTTCAGGACGCTGAAACCGTCAACCTGAATGAATCGAAGACACTCCAGGACCAATCGGCAACTATTCCCAACCTGTCGGGATCCTTGCAAGTATATATCCCTAGGGCTCCAACCACCTCTGAGAAGGTGGTTGGGGTGGGTTTGGGGGGTCCAACCACCTTCTGAGGATATGGTTGGAGCCCTAGGGTATAATCACTTAAATTCTCCGGTTCGGTACGCATGGACCCGACCTTGGGGCACCAATCACATGCAGCTAGTCTAGTGTCCTTCAATCAGCCAAACCCGAGACCGTACCGAACTTCGAGGGTCCGAAAGCGGCCACCGAAATGGGTCGATGCCATCGGCGGCCATCGTGGGCCATCGCGGCAGCTGTTTTCAGCTGCCTTCAGGTCTCTTTGAAGAGCTGTTTCCGGTATGAAACCCGTGATCTCACTCCATTCCATGGGCCCTCCTTTTTTTTTGGAATGAGCATGGTGGCTCCGAAGACCAAAGGGGTGGTGAACTGCCACTTCCAGTTTTCCTTGGAGTGTAACTGTTCCTCAAATCGGCCATTTTGAATCCAAAACACAGTTCTCTGGAGGAGTCTCTGCCATGGTGACCATTTGCTCTTTGGCCGGAGAGTGTTTGGCGACGTTTGGTGCGGATGTGATAGAAAACGTTCCAGTGAAGTGGTTGAAAGAGCACAGTTCTGAACAAGTGGGCGCCTCGCGCTTCCGACAGCAATGGCTTACTGAAGACGGCCGTGAGTTAAACGATGAGGCTGTACTTTCAGTTGCACATGTGCAGCTGGTTGTTTTGAATTTTCTTCCATGTGAGCAGCATGGCAATCGGTTGATTGCCGCAACTGGCATTGACTCGACCGAGCTAGAAGAGCTTTTGTGCCAGTCCTTGCAGGAACGTAGAAGTCCAGTAGCCAAAGATCGTCATGGGAAGACGGCGCTACTCATCGCATTGAAACAGGGTCATCGCAATTGTGCGGCTTTGCTGCTGAAAGCCATTGCAAAGGAGTTTAGGGGCATCAAGCTTGACGATGTCGTCACGCAATTTGGGGAAACAGCTTTACACTTGGCATGCCATGAAGGATATTTGGATTTGGTTCAGATCTTGCTTCATGTTGGCGCTGATCCAGTAGCCAAAGATAGTGATGGGAACACGGCGCTACTCGTTGCCTTGAAGCGGGGCCATCAGAAGTGCGTGACTTTGCTTCTGAAAGCAGCTGCAAAGGAGAATTGGGGCATCAAGCCTGATGATGCGCTGCATTTGGCATGCCAGAATGGCTATTCGGATATGGTGCAAACCTTGCTTGATGTTGGTGCTGATCTAGGAGCCAAAGATAGTGATGGGAACACAGCGCTACTCGTTGCCTTGAAGCGGGGCCATGGCAATTGTGTCATATTGCTACTGAGGGCCATTGCAAGCGAGTTCTGGGGCATCAAGCCTGATGATGTTGTCACGCAATTCGGGGAAACAGCTCTACATTTGGCATGCCAGAAAGGATATTTGGATCTGGTGCAGACCTTGCTTGATGTTGGTGCTGATCCTGGGAGGAGCACGATCTGTGGGGATTCCCCTTTGCATTTGGCAGCCTTGGAAGGCCACGCTGAAGTTGTGAAGCTGCTACTTGAAGCTGGGGCTCAGAAAGATTCACTCACGAGCAATGGGGGCACAGCTTTACATTTAGCAGCTTGGAAAGGCCACCGAGGGGTTGTAGACCTGTTGCTGAAGACTGGTATTGACGTAAACAAGGCGAAGAATGGTGGTGATACAGCCTCTTTGCTGAAAACCATGAACTTTGAAGTGTTTTGCTAGCTGCTAGATGACTCCCCATACATACCTCCGATCTACCCCAAAAACACAAGAACAAACACATTTCTTGTAATTAGCACCACAGCAGTTGCCATGTACATATTCCAGAATTGCCAAGTGTCATTATTGCATCCAGAGTAGTTTCTTTGGAGCGTACGCTGTGTATATGGCCGCAAGTGAGGCTTTGCACATGGCTGCTTGGAGTGGCCATTTGGAGGTGGTAAGATTGCTCCTCGAGTGTGGTGCCAACACAGATCAGGTGCGTTAAGACCACGTGAAACGACCAGTTCAGCAGATGACTAGCACTGGAATATGGCTGTGGGTCAAAACCTGGAGCCTCCAAACCCTGGTTGTTTGACCTGCCCAGGTCATCCTTTCTAGCTGTTCACCCTTAAATGGGTCAACCAAGGTCTCCAGGTTTGGAGCCATTTCATGTGATGAGTACTCTCCCTGGAACTCACATGGTTACGTGGAGTTCACCACCTGGAAGTGTAGTGGAAACCACATGGATTCGGTTTTCATTTGCCGCTTGGATCGAGGGAGTGAGCCTTTGACCTGGTTTGGATGATTCTGCTGGACAATGATACAATGGGTTGGGCACTCCAGCTAGTATGGATGATGCGCCTTGTTTAATGTTTGCTACATTAAATGTCTTGGAAACAAACATGAGTCAAACACTATGAAGTTTTGTACACCGGGTAAGTTAAACAGAACTTGAAAGCCACCTGTTGGTAGAGGAAACTCCTTTATGCTACACACACACATGTTTTGCCATCGCAACGAAACTCCGTTTGCCAGGTCGAAGGCGGTGGGAAGACGGCAGCACAGTTGGCCGCACTGCATGGGCATGCCAAGGTGCTGCGACTCTTGGACCAAGCGAAGCCTGACTTGGAGCAGCCAACGAAGCGCCGGAGGGAGCAGTAAAAGGGATCAGCGTCTTCTGCTCTAACTGCTCTGACCCTGGACCCTCCAAGTATACCTGAGCTTTTGGCCCACTCGGACTCGGCTTGCATTGCGAGGGATCAGCGTCTTTTGCTCTAACCGCTCTGACCCTGGACCCTCCAAAGTACCTGAACATGGGTATAAGTACCATGTTTTGGGTTCGGGTCACTGCCTCTTATGGGTGGACGATGTGGAACCTTTGCCGTGACCGCTTTTTCAGTTCTCTGTCCACGTCAATCCACCTGGATTTTCCTCAGCCAGGCCTGCAATCAACTGCTGTCCTTCTACTTCTACCTGGCTGACTGCAGCGAGGCACATGGCTGAGCCGATCGATCCCAGGGCCCAAAGAAAAAAGATGGTGCAAGTGCATGGAATTCCTTGTGCCTGCCGTTCGGCCACTGAAAGGTCTTTTTAATGTCGTTTTCAATCTGACCTTATTTGATCTAACATCTCGAAATGACCCGGTTGTTCGGTTGAACAATAACAAAGAACATATGCGTTTTTTCACCGGAGGAAAAACAAAAAATACCGAGAAATGCCGATGAAGACGTCCCGTTTCAGAAATTCTCCCGCTCGAGCCGTTGACGTCGGGGCGCCTGACTGTCTCGAACGAGAGCGAACGCTCGGTGTCACGGTGCGAGCGTCGGCTCAACAGGTCGATATGAAAGAGAGAACCCCTATGCCAGGCCCCCTATAAGGGGGTGTCAAACTATAGCCCCTTAAAGGTTCAGAGATGTCCATTAACCACCCCTTAAGGGGTCCTGGTATAGGCTTCCTGGCCCACCATTAATAGGCTGATTCCTGAATCAACTAAGGATTTTACACTGCAAAACCAGGTCAGACCATTGTTTTAATGGTTGAACGGAAGTCTAGCGTAACACGAGGCAGCGCCGCAAAACGTCCAAAGCCCTTTAAGATAGCACGAGGGTAGGGTTTGGGGCAGAAGGTGTTATGGCTGTGGGTCACTGAATGAGATATGATATCCCTAAGAAATCCTACGAATCCAGGATTCTCAAAGGTGCGGTGCAGGTGTGTTTTTGGTCCAAGCCCCTGCTATGCAAGGTTCAAACCCTCCAGCTTGGAGGGTCCAATGATGCGGATATATCCGAATTATATATATAATTATATAATATTGTTTGGCAGGTTGGACATCAGTCAGTTTAGACTATCGAATCCGTTTGATTCCTCTAACTTAGAATTTCTTGCTGTTTTAAACTGATCTTCACCTTTGTCGAAGTGAAGGGAGACCCCCCCGCTACCAGGAGCTCTTCCCCGCCACGACGCGGCCGATGGTTTCGGGTGACCATGGGACAGGCAGTCCTGACGGCCGATCAGGCCAGGGACTAAACGTATAAAAGATGGTATACATCTTGCTATAGTGGCCTCAGATACGTTTATGTTCCACCTTTAAGTGAGTTGAAAGAAACCAATGGAGGACACCTGCTGGTCCCATCGGTCGTTGTGCCCAGGTTCCGCGGGCCAAATATGTTCCAGTGTTTTTTGCGTCAGTGACAGACTCAAGCTTGAGTCTTTAGAGCAATCAGTTGTTATCAGTACATACATCACACATGGATGAACAAAGCATCGGCATGTGTCCAGTCAGGTCCAATATACCTCTCGAATTGTAATGCATCGATCTTCGGATCCACCATCGAAATTATCATAAATCATAATACACCATCTATCCCAGCACCCGAAACCTGCCAGGTCACCACCTGCCACTTTAAAATCTCCAGTGGGACCTTTTTCGAGTCGAGTGCTGGTCTCTGTTTTGCATGGACGGCCAGGTCGCATTATGTGGTCCAGATGTCCAGCAATCTGCAGGGAGTGCCCACGCGGTTGGGGGGGATGGCCACGAAAAGCAACCCGAGTTGGGCTCGCAGCTAAACCAGAGCCAAGGGAACGGGCTTGGGAGAATCAGCTGGGAAAGAGGACCCTGTTGAGTCTGACTCTTGTAAAATGACTTCATTTTTTGGGCTTCGGTCTGTATTGCCAGAACACATGAGAAGCGGCCACAGATACTGGTGGGGCGGAATTCCGTTGGTGATGCCACGTCATTGCTGTCGAGGGTTTCCGGATTGTCACCATCACCAAAAAACTCATTAAACGACCACATGCATTTACCTGACATACAGTGCATGATCGTTATATATAGAAACATATATATATATATGTTTCATGTGGATGGGCACAGTTCATCCCTTTGATGTGTTATATAATCATGTGTGTGTGCAAAGCATCCAAGAAGGCGGAAGCAATGGACACCCTTGTTTGGTTTAGACATTCACTAGAAGAACCCATCCATCACCAGTCTACATCAAATTAATATGCTACCAGTCTCAAAGTACTGTAGAAAATGGGTACAAGTATTTGTGTATAGGATCATGATCATGCCCACATTTTCTAGGGTATTTGAAGCTGGGCATGCCAGGTATAAACAAGGATGTCCAATGGGTGAGGCTTTTGCTGATTCCATTTTGGATCATTTTGGTTTGAGGATTTGGGACCCTAGCTGTGTCATGAGGATCATGAGGGGCCTGCAGTCCCTGAAGCTTTTTGCTTCGGGTCCAAACCCCTGCGAGGTCAGCAGGGTCAAAACCCCTCCGAACTCGTTCGAGTCCAATGATGCTTACCATTTGCCAGGGTCGTTTTGGCAGGCACCCCATGTTTTTAGCCAAAACACCTGGAGGATGCCACCGACCTTGGAGGACAGAGATCCAGAGGGGTACAATCCCAATCATGGGGGCAGTGTGTGGATCAATCACAGATCATCTGGATCTCAAAAAGGCCAGGCCTCGGATAAGGCCAGGAGTTGGCAGGATCCAGGCTGAGCTTCAAGATTGGGTGTTTCAGGGTGCTGAACCAACTTTTCCAGTCAGAAGTCAGTCGAAGTAAGTCACCATGTTTATGTATTCTTTTTTTCCATGGCTTTCCTAACAGATTCGTTACCCTTGAAAGTCACCCATGTCATGAAGAAAGGAGGTGACCGCCGCGCCGATCGCCGCCACAGCTGTTTCTTTTTTGGGGCTGGGGCGAACCTTGCGCGTGGGCGACTGCGCGCGATCGAGCATGTGGCTGGTTGGAGGCACGATCGAGCGTTTTTGCTGGGCCGGACTGGTTGGGGACAGACGTTTGGCCGTTGCGGCACTGGTCGTTGCTGGTACACTCCCTGAAACGTCCTCATGGTGATGTGGATGGTTATGGTTTGATTGCCCCGAGCAAGTGACCGTGAGTTTTTCCGAAGGTTCAACAGGTGGTTTTCACTCCCTACATGTACCCATGATTGAAGCACGACTGGAGCACTTGAAGGAGGCAACCCTGATTAACCTCAATATGTTTGTAATTGTATGTTTTTTCTAGGTTCGAAATTGAACCAGTAGCTGTTGTCAGTGCAAAACCAGTTTCAGACCCACTGCACAAGGCACCCAAGAATGAATTGAACATGACGGATAGACTGCATGGATAGACATCTCCACAGACACCCAGGGTCATTCATCATCAGGCAGAGGCATCATTCGAGACACCTCGTTTTCTTAGAAAACGGTCGGCCTGCTAAGGGCCTCCTTGAGCTCCAATGCCATGCGCGGTTTCGACCCAAACCCTGCGTTCCCTTGGAACTTTTCCAACAAGTCGGACAGGTGGTTCGGGGTTCGTGCTTTGCTTTGGGTTTGGAAGGCCTTTCTGATGTAAAATGGCAGGAATAAAGCTCCCAACTGTCAGGACATGTCAGGACCTCGGCTTTTGGACTGAATTTCCACTTGGCACTGGGGGGTGTTCATTTTTTCCTCCAAACTCTGTCTTCGTTCGCACCCGGTTTATAAGTTCCCCTTTCGCCCAAGCACCCGGTGCTTTGCTTTCGGCCTTTATTCCAAGGGGAGATCTCCCTGTACTTAACTCACACATGTCAATATCCAGTGCCAGTGGCCATATCCAATGGCCTTAACGTCCACATTGGAAGGTCAGGCAGAAGCAGATATGGGGCTCGGTTTGTCCATAAAGATAGCACCCTGGAGTCCTGCAGAACATGGGTACAGTCATACATAAGAGGCTCATGATGGGTCATCCTAGGGGACTTTGGGGGCTCCAAGCCTGCTAGACCGCTAGACAGGGGCAAGATAGTGTGGAATTTATAGCTGTTTGATGCAGTTGTTTGGTCCTTTTTTAAATCAACTTCAAGTGAATCCTTCTTTCATTTTCTTTCCATGGATTCGGCCAACTTCCAGTCATGTTCCAAGTGGATACACTTGGCATTGGCATATAAAAAGATGACGAGCACTCAGCAGCCCATCACAGCCCCAAATCACACCACACCAGGCCGCTAGCCGTTTGCACGGGGCCTCAGTCAGAGGTCGGTTTCTTCGGTCGGCTGGTCCGACCGACTCACTGAATAGTGTTTTCTGACCGCAAACCTGATCCGCAATGAACCCAAAACCGGTCTAAAAGATGGACCTTTTTTTGTAGGTTGGTCCATGAAGGGTCCAAAAGGCTGGTCCAATACCTATAGGCTGGTCCGAACCCAAAATATACAAGGTCCAGTGTGATCGAGCAGAACCTGGTCACCTGGTCACTCCAGTCGTGTTCTCATTGAGGTCAGGGAACTGACCGGTCTCGGGGTGGGTTTTCTTGGGGATTTCTGGTCTGGACAACGGGAACTTCTTGGTTTTCTTGGGATTAAACCTGATGTTAATCACCTAAAACATCACCTGCGACACCTGTAACAACCGCAAGAGCCACAAGGTGGCTCTATACAGGGTCAGGAATTCTGCTGAATTTGGCTGAAATTGATCAGACACCGACATAGACCAAAACACAAACCAACCAACCAGTCATTGAGAAGTCAGAACCCCTATAGTTAGTTATTTGGGGAAAAACACTACTCGAATGGTCGGTAAATAAGGACCAGATAGCCAGTTCTTATTGTGAGTCAATGATTCAGAATGGGCCCGATGATTGATCCAAGTGACCAATATGTTTCAAGGTAGTTGAAACCATCAACCATTCGTATGTTTATTGACTCCCAACTCCAGCAAACAACTAGAAACCAGACAATCCCGACTTGCGAGCAGGAGGTGTTTGGACACACCAAGATTTCAGCCTCCACTCTTTTTACCCTAGCCACAGGCCATAGCTAGGGGTTTGATCCTCAGAACCAGGGTTTTGGACCGCGAACATGTAGCAGTTGGATGCAGCTGGTTCTGGTCCATGAGCCTTTGGGTATCAAGTCAAAGACTCTCAGCTTGTCCCTGGATCGCTGGACGTCCACGGGTGTACTCGTGCGTTGGACGCCCCGCTCGAAGGTTGGACCGGAAGTTCACCCAAGGTGCTTCCCAAAAATGCCGCTCGGCACGTGCCGTGGACGTGTTGGGAGTGACCGAAGTGATCCTTGAGTTCTGCAGATTCAATCTATCTTCTGAGGGTTGTTCCTGGGTTTCTAGGGATGGATTGCTGATGTGTTTTGTGAGGTGTTTTCTATTGTTAATCTCCACACTCGTTGGAGCAGCATATTGCCACCCATGTTGACGTTCACCCACCTTCATAGAATCCAGTCATCCCACAGTCGATAGGATATCCCACAATCCAGAAACAGGATTGGGTCAATGTGCTTAACAAATTATTGAATTATTGTATTGTCGTTGGTCTATATAATTCCATGAGGATGACTATCGTTCCTCGTGGTTTGCGATAAACCTGAAGCGTTGACAAGCCAAAGGTTCCGCGGTTCTGTGCTCTGGGATGCATGCTGAGGCGGCTTCTCCCAACCGTCCTACTCAGCCTCCTAGGCCACGACGCCGTGGTCAACGTCGATCGAAACTGGATCGAGCAACGTACACGTGTTACACCCTGGAAGATTCACATGGAACTTATAAGAATTCCTGGATTGTAGAGGAATATAGTCCTCCAAAGGCTCATTTTCTCGTAACATGGACTTTGAAGGGCCAGGTATTCCCAAAAACCATCAAAACCATCAAATGAAGGCCGTGGGTTCCAAAGAAGCTTTTCGAAAACCAAAAAGATCATCAAGCACCATCAAGTGAAGACCAGGAATTTGTATTCCGTGGAGCGTTTGGGTACGGATCCCAATGACCGCGAAGAGAGATTGACAGCACGGAGCCAATTTCACTTCATTCACTTCAGGTTCACGTCCAGAATCGGTGCGGGTGACCTACCCGGAAGTATACTGATCCCTAACATAGATAGAAGTACGGTTTCCAAAGCATTCTTAGTAAGGATCTACTGTACTTTTCTATCTATTTGGGACCAGGAAGTACGTGGATCACCGACTTCTTTTCATGTTTGTCTTTTCTTCACGCTGTTCAATTCTTTTTGCACCGTGCTTTTTCCAGAGTGTCATCGGCGCCTGCGTTCGTGTGGGCGAGGATGGGACGAACAGGTGTACGTTTTCGGGGGAAGTGAGGATGTCGAGTGACATGAACCTGTTTGAGGATGGACCGCACATGGACCCATGTGGGGTCCAGGTTTTTCAACAGAGCGGGGGCAGTTCGTCTCGCTGGCTCGGAAAGGATATGGACCCTGGGTGGCAGATGTTGCTGTGAACTCCTATTTGACTTTCATGTTTGCACCATCTCTATAGTGCTTTGGACTGGGCATTCCATAATATACATATAATATCAACACCCTGTCAACATGTTATTGAGAATATTACCATTTACATGGTTTATATAGATATTACACACACCACCCTATGATCAAAACATATTTATGGAGAACTCGTTGCTGGATCACCTCACTCAGTTGCCTTCGCAGGTGGGGTCTTTAGCCAAGATGAGGACCCTAGGGAGTCGATAACTGGAACAAGCAGCCGTTTGAAGGGACGTTGAGAGAGAATACGTGTCAACAAAAGATCAAGTGGACTTTAATCTTGGCTGTTTTGAGCTGAAATATCTGGAACACAAGTGGATTTTCTTGAGAAGAATGTCGATCAAGTTCAAAGAAGAACCTGTCATGAAAACAACGGCCCTCTAACCATTTTTCCAGGTAGATGATCTTAGCCAGTCAGTTTCTTTTTGGGGGGAAAATCTACCAGAGTCTACCATGGTCCGTCTCTACCTTGAGAGGATGTGGTTTGAGTCACTGTAGGGAGCAGATGCTCTCCGCACCGGCGTTCCAAAAGGACCCGGTGACACCGTGAAGGATGTGGACCACGGACCATTTGTTGGAGCTGTCGAGCTAGGGTTGAGCCGGTGAAGTAGAGCTGGGAAGAATCTGGCAGGTTCGCTGGTTCGTCATCCGCAGGTTCGGTGAAGTTGGGTGTGGAGAGGTCAAAAGGTAGTACGTACTGCCGCGATACCCATGACTCATAGCTCGTGTGACTTGATGAGAGTCCCAAGCAACCAAGAACCAGATGCATCCCAAGACATGATGAGAAGGGTCATGTCCCGTTCAGGGGATCAGTTTGTCTTCATTTTCATACACGTGTTTTTGTTGGCATCTTAGTAGAGTGGATAGAAGAAATCCCACCAACACATCACCTCTTCTGTTCAAGCAGCTGAACCACCCATTCCAACTGCAACACCCATTCCATGAACAACAAATCACACTATATGTGCCTTGAAGTCTTTTTATGGCCTTATAGAAACCATGGTTTCCCTCCCAAGGCCGTCTCAGACGTGGCTGCTTTGGCCCCCCCAAAACGACACCGACTTCGCACAGGAGCCGGGCGGCGCCTGGATGGATTCACCAGGCCGAGCGTGTGGCCGAAACGATGGCCGGCGTTTTGGCCCAATGAGACCATAGGGTATTTAGACCGTTTAGACTATATGACGATGTGTATGTCATATAGCTTGTAGCATTTAATGGATGTATACATCTTTTACCCTTCCTGGATATACAGCTTGTTCCGAGGTTCCCTTCCTGGAGGACTTTGGAATGTCCAGGTAGCCGAAACTCGGAGCGCCTCGCGGATGACCCCCGATGGGGTGGGTCCTTTTGGTGGGGTGAGTTGGCGGCCAGTGTTTCCACAGTTTGCAGCTGGTTCAGCGTGTTTTTGGTGGTTTGTTCAAGAACACACGGTGAGCATGAGAATCGCTATTGATCCAAAGCTTTTCTTGGGATCAGCTTACCAGCGATTCTAGATCGCTCACAGTACTGGTAACACTGTGTACCGATTCGGTACCATGTGTACTGGTTGTACCTGTGTACTGTGTACTGGTTCGCTATTGATCCAAAGCTTTTAGTTAGCTTTTGCCTGTTTCCTGCCCCGAACTGGTCCCCACGACGATCGTCCGATCTGTGGTGAGCGTACCGCGACAGGCGAGTTGGCCATCACGGAGGAAGAGCTAGCGGAGCTCAAGCTGATCGCCGCCGAACGTGGGGGAGCCCTGGGGTTTGAAACAGGGTGGAGCTCCACAGGTTTTGGCGATTTTGTGTGCTTTTGGGTTGTGTGTGTGAGAGGAAGGTGTTTCCAGACCGTTTCCTTCTTCTTTTCACAGGTGGGAAGCTCTAGAAGGGTGTTCACCCAGCAAGTTGCCGGGTAGTCACGCTTTGGAAAAGCATGATGTGTAATCAGATGATGATAATTTCTAGAGTCATTGTGAGTCGTTCATTTGGTGGTGAAAGCCAGTTGGGAAATAGGATTCCCGTTCGTGACCGTGGTGCTTGCAGATGGAAGTATTGTTCAACATGTGTTTCAAGACATAGGTCTGTTGCAACAGAACCTTCCAAGCCAGGTGCTTTTTGGACACGTCGAATCAATCCAAATCACCTCTATAGCTTTTTGTAGACACCCCTTGGAGGGTCCTTGTGGGTCCTTATATGAATACATCTCATATGAATATGATACTAGTGGCAAGATTCTCCAAGTCGCCTGGTGCAATGTCGCCGGGGCCCGCCATAGGTCGAGAAGTACCTGTATCGGTCGATGGTGCACCGGTTTCCACGGAGTCCGGTTTCTCTGCACCGGTGCCAGGGTGGAGTGAAAAAACACCATTTTTGATGGTTTGTTTGAAAGTCTTTCGTGCGGAACCTTCAAATCAGATTCATATCTCTGGCCAGAACTGGCAGATAAGGCATACACGGAATCTGGTGTATGTAACCATACTGACCATACTCCTTTTCAATGTAGATCCATGGTGTAACATACATCACAAAAGCTGATCGAATGATGGTGCCGGCCATTCCGCTTCTGTCTCTTACGCTTCGTAGGCTCGGAATTCCCAGGCCCAGCTGGAGCTCTACCTCTAGGGCCCCTATCGATCAGTGAAGATCACCGGAACCCGTGCAGACAGTCTAAAAATGTGACGCCAGGACGGCTCCAGTACATTACGACCTTGGAGGCCGTTGCGGGGCCGGAGAGTACCTTGGAATGAGCAAAACATAGCAAAACAACGTGCACTTTGTGCGATAGGACGTGGAGAGGAACCACTTGGTATAGTTTTTTATATGAAGGGGGTCTGTTTGGGGGGGGGCGGTTTCACTTCCAGGGTTTTGAACCGGTGGTGGGTTACTTTATTGCAACGGGGAGCTTGCTCAGACGACGTGACTAGACATTTGATCACCAACCCTAAGGTTCAGGTACATCCTCAGGACAGCCTGATCAACGCATGATACAGGGTACCTTGAAACCGGTTCATCAACGCATGAGCCCAATGTTTCAAGTGAACAGATGCTGTAATATGTCTATTCTCACGCGATTCAGAGTCCACACCAAGGGTTCAGGTCGCCCACCAGTGATGGGCCGTGGATTCTTGCCGAAGAACGAAGAACGAAGAACCAGCTGTTACCAGCTCTTTTACGCCGGAGTTTACACTATAAAACCAGGTCAATGGTCAATCCAACTCTTTGAATGGTCGTCTCGGTTTCGGCCAGGGGTTATTTGATCACAAGGGTAATACAAGGGAAATCTGATTGTCCCGCCTTCCCTGGACCACAAGGTGGACACTCCTTCTCTAGGCCTGGAACAAGTTGGAATAAGGCTGAGCAATGATTTTTTCTTCCCTAGGAGTCCAAGGGTTTCCCATGGGCTTCCCTTTATGTTTCCCTTGTTCCATGTCACCTCAAAGTGCAATCTCGCAATCTCGATGAGGTTTCAGGTAGCGCTGACAGAGTGTCGCTTGCGTCTCGGATCCATTTTTACCAAACAGCTGCGCAGAAGAATACAAACGAGTCGAAATTCTAGGCTTGGGGGGTTCCTGGAAGCCTGCGTTCTTGCCAGCAAAGTGGGTCCGGGGTCGAGACAGTGAAGCCAGGAGTGATTTGGGTTTGGTATGTGTTGGTATAGTTTGACCCCTTGTGCTGGCCAGATTGCAGTAAACCCAAGGATATGAGGACATGACGCACTGATAACTGACTGATAATCCATGATACTCCTGAGGACAGGGCGGGATGCAAGTGACCATGAAGCTTATCACTTGCTGAGTTTGGTGCCAGGACATGCCACTGCCGGACAACCATGTCTTGTACATGGTGGAAGAAGGCAGGGCATCAACGCGAGAAAACCGGTTGGTTAGAGGTGTAAGATTTACAACCACCCTGGAGTAGATAGAATATGTTCAAACCGAACATGTGTCTAACCATCCGGATGTTTTTTCCATATTCTATCTACTCCAAGAGGACCATACAAACTAAGATTACACTGAGTTCGAAGCGCCCACTGAGTCACTATCTAGATAGATCTTGGTCCATCCATTCCAGTTTGACCACCATGGTGTGCCCCAATAGTTCGGGCGAAGATGCCCGTACATCCATCAGCCCCAGCAATACGCCCTGGAAGAGACCCACATGGAGCCTGAAAACCACTGGATTGTAGAGGAAAAATAGTCGTCCAACATCTTCCAAAGGTTCCGTCTTCATGTTCCATGTCAAAATTTACCAGGTGTACTGCTAAATAGTAAACATAGCCTACTCCCTTCTGGAGGTGTATATGTGGAAGTTCTATGTTAATTGTTGTTGTTTGTTGTTGTCAAGCGTGAAGGATTTATGGTGGACTGGGTGGACTCCAAAATGAAGCTTCTCAAGGTTCCGAAGGCTCGAGAACAGGCTTCAAACCATGTTTTCGAAGGTGCAAGGACTGTCGATGGAGCAGTTTTCGTTGGAACCACCAGGGCCGCCCTTCGTGACTGAAAACTCACTCTGGACTCACTGAGGAATTTTGGAACATCATGGGACACTCTCGCGCCCGTGGGAAAGTCCTTCTCGCTGGCACCGAAACACCGGCCGGGAATACACACTGCCCTAGTGAGTTGGGACTTGTGCAACAAACAACCCGTCTCATAAGTGGCACAACTCCTAACTCAGGTGGCAGTTGGCCCATAGGGCAACAGCAGAAATCTTGGACCAACAGCACTACCAGCCCTACCCAGGAGTTCGGCAGATCACCGGATTGATGAACGTTCGTGTTCCATCCAAATCAGCAATGGGAAACCCTTCACCGTCCAAAATCCCTAGGCATCCACTGCCACCTTCTCAGAAGGCACGAAAGGCATGTTCGATCTCACTGGCAGTGCCACGTCCACAGGCGGTGCCACGTCCTGGACTTGCAGTAGCTTTTGTACCTCCATCGAGGGGGCCTGGATGCCGAGTCGAGCGCCAGAAGGGTTCTCGTCATTTGTTCTTTTGTTGTCATATATCTTATATCTCTAATGTATATATATATATGTATGTATAATGTGTAATTAGTATATTAGTATTTTGTAGTCAGTGGCCAGCTTGCAGGCTTAGCCCTTCAGGTATGATTGTGAACCATGGAAGTGCTCAGAATTATAGGTCCTAATTCAAGAAGTATTCGCACCCGCTGTGGGTTCACGGTTCCATAATCCAAGTACCAATCGGCAAAAGTGGCAGTCCTTTGCTAGGTAAGCAAACTTTCACATTCCGTAGGCTTCCAAATGCATTCCAAGAAGGTACTTAGACCCTCCAAGCCTACCCAAGTCCCACCTTCTCAGGATGTACTTGGAGACCTTGGGCTGGCTCATGATTTATGATGATATGTCCTTTAAAGCCGGAGGTTTGAACAATGCAATCGCAGCTCTAGGTTCTGCTCGGCCACTGGATTGAAATAGAACACGACTCGGGTTCAAAGCCTTCCTTCCAGCAACCCAAGCCTGATGTACCTACATCTATCCACGGTTCACTGGAACCCATGCAGATCCGTTCTTGTGGTTTTTGGAGTGGCTGGAGGGGTAGATTTGCTTTTGGAGGGGCTGGAGGGATAGCGTTTTAGGTCCGAACAAATACCGGTGATTGAGCCACTCAGGAAAGGATCTATTAAGATTGTTTTTGTTGCCAATTAATTTGCATTCCGGGGGGTTGAACAACTTGGGCAAATGCTTTGTATATATGGTGGTGCCTGACCACTAGGAAGCGCTAGAGTCAGAGAGGATATGAATATGTGTATTGGTTTGTATAGCAATATGTACACACACACATATAATATATATAACATACATGCACATACATATATATAAACCCGGATGTCTAACACCAACGGGATCTGAAGCCGCCATCACCTCTTGTTCTTGGACTTCACCAAATTGGTGATGGGAGAAATCCGTCCGCGCCGCCCGGAACAAAGTGTTTCCTCAAATGGACCGGGTGAAGCTTCCGATGTAGCGAGCGGAGCGGTTCGGGCCGAGCGAGTTCGGTTCGGGTGGCCTTTGGTGGTGATTCTCTGGACCCATTCGAGTCACTAGACTCAGTCCCTGCAGTCGTACCTTCTGGGTGCCAGGCTGGCCCAGGAGGTGCCGAGGAGGCACGACTGGAACCCTAGTAAGAAACCTTTTTCGAGGGGGCACTCCGCGAACTACAGGTCAGTTGGACCTCATTCTACTAAAGTTTATCAGACAAGAACACTTCTCAATAAGTTGTTTGGAGGCCCCCGGGACTGGCTCCTGCCCTTCTTTGGGACTCAAGCAGCGATTCCAGCAGGGCGCTTCTGGGGGGTGGTTTCAGATCTCTTTGAATGTTCCAACCTTTTGGATGATTGAAGCCTCAGATTCATCTCTCTCTCCTCGTGAGTTGAAACCACCTCTTGAGGCGTGAAAGGATCTCAAGACACCATGAATCATCTTTTTGGGGTCCGGCTGAGGCACACGCGGGTGCGAACTATAGCACCTTGGAGATCAAGATACCTGGAGGCCTGAACGAGTGAAAATTCCGATGGGAGGTCGGGAGTAATTGGAATCAGGCCAAGTCGAGTATTTGGGTATTTGCAGTGCGATAGAGCTGCTTCCAACATAGTTTAATGATGGTCAATGTATGTATTTATGTCGAAGCCATGTCGAAAGTAGGGTAAAGAATGTCCTCCAATGAGTAGGGAGAACGGACTGATTGATTCAAATCTGGGATGTGTTGGATCAAAGAGCTTCTCCTTTGCCTGCGAACTCTTAAGCCACTCTTTGATGGGTCCCTTGGATCAGGGAGGATATAGGGTCCTTCTGGGCACTGCTCTAATCTTGCTCGTTTGATTTTGGTTGGCGAACGGTGCAGCTAACTGGTGAAGGCAGGCCCAGGAGGTGGCAGTGTTTCTTTCCCAGCCCTGGTGTTGCTGATCTAAGGTGATTGGTGAGGTTCCCGCATGTTCCCCGTGAGTGAAGGGTTCGGCTACTGGTGAATCCTCTGTTTCTCGGCTCCGTCGGACAGCTCCAAGCTAGCCTTCCGCTCGACCAGCTCGACCAGCTCTCCTCATGGTCGAAGGAGTCACAGTGATTTGTTGCGGAAAGACCCATCAATCGATGCTTGGGATTCCCCAGCGGAACGAGTCAGGTCCCACCCTGACTCGAGAGGCCCTATGCTTTCAGGTCCCAAATGCCAAATACCCATGATTGACTGAGTGGGGCAGGGTCGGGTAGGGACTAGTCTGGCAGGATCTAGCCCGAGATTTTGAGGTTTTGTGCAAAAGGAATCACTCTGGAAAGATACCCCTGAACACACATCTCATGTTTGACAACTGTGTACTTCATGTCCAGCGTGCTGTTTCAGCCGCATGATGAGTGAATTTTGCCGGATTGGCCAAGAGCTAGAATGAAGGCTTGAAGGTCTACTCTCTACTACACTTGACCTGAGATCGGCATGCATCGTTTGCTTGCTTCGCTTGAACGTCTGGACTGTTTGCAGCGAGTTTGCAGTTGTCTCCATGTTGACCTGGTCGTCCAATGGGTTCTCTACCTGGCAGTGATAGTGATACTATAGTGGATGGTAGAGATAGCTTGACCTACTGTAGAGTTCATTGCATGATGGCTACCTCTTTGCTTGGAACAGCATGCGTTGGTTGGTTGTTGGTCCATTGCGTCGCATGATGAGAAAGAAAAAGCCTGAGATGTCTGACACTCGATGAGGCTTTCCTACACTTGAGCTGAGATTGCAACGATGGGACCACGACCCTATCAACGTCGCATGCCGCCGGAGGGACCACCCTTCAAGGTCCTAAGGTCGCCTTTCACGTCGGAACTATGAAACAGCCGTAGACCTGCGACGATCCATTCTGGGTGTCTCTTTTGGAAGAGGAAGACCTCCAAAGATGGGAAGAGGGAATGGAGGAAACCCATTGGCAAACCTCTTGGAGGAGTCCCTGACTTGAACTCCCCAGCATCAGTCCAATCGCCCAGTGCAACCGATCACAAGCCACGTGTTGTGCCCTTTCGTGCTTTGGTTTGTTGTTCGTCAAACTGAGGGATTGATCAACCGGTTTATCGCCTGGAAGGATTTGGTCGTTTCCCTACGCCCGGATGACGTCCCACGCTCTCCCAGCTACGTCCCATGGCCAGGCACCTTCCAGTTTACAGATCAAGTGCACCACGCAGCCAGACTCAAGGCAGCGAACCTTGAGGAAGACCGATGGAGACCGATGGAGACTCATGGAGCCGTCTGAGAGGTCACAGAAATTGGGTGACCCGGATGTTTGCTTGCATGTTTGATCATGTTTGCTATGATATCAATATCATTTGTGTTTGTTGGGGAATTGTTTGATTTTTGGAATGTAATCGTTGGTGTTCCCATGGCGTGTCTGACATTTAGAAATCGTTGCAGACATGTTTTGTGCTGTACTTCTTGGCGGAATCTGTCCGGGCGGGCCGCCGGGTCGTCGTTGACAGATTGGTGGAACCTGCTGGAAGACTCAGAAAGACGTGGCCGACCACTCTGAAGACGAATCAAATTTCCTGAACCCGATGTGTCATCTGACTTGTTGTATTTTTTTGGTGCAATCTGCTTAGCAGTTTGATGATCTTCGATATATCATTATATATCTTGATGTTTAATTGATGCTTTCTCTTAATCTTGCCTCTTTTGGGCTCCACAAATGACTCCCATAAACGTTGCATGATCCTCAGGTGCTTCATTTGAAGGTTATCACAGATAGGCGGCGGTAGGCGTCCCGATTTGACAAATGGACAGCGACTCCATGCGACACAGACTTGAATTCTTAAAATTTCATCAATGTACACTTTCCTCCTCCAACAATTGTACAGCTGATACAAATGTACAGTTGTACACGGGTTGTTTTTGTTGGTGCACATGTACTTTGAAGCTTATCAGTTATCACAAATGTACACTTTCCTCCTCCTCCTCCTCCTCCTCCTCCTCCTCCTCCTTCACATGTGCAACCATCATTGATAGGAGTGTTCATTCATAGATCCGTCGGAATCCAACCACTTCACCTGGTTCTGTGGACCTTGGAACCGGCACCAACAGCCCACCGTAACGATGTCGGGGCTGAGTGAGTGCTGCAGTGGATCTACCATTCCCAGACACGACTAATGGGACTGGCAGTGGGACTGGCATATTAACATACCTTCTCTAGGGCTCCTGGCCCACATCCTCAGGTTCGGTGGTATTCGGCCTCCCAAACCCACCCCAAGCATTTTCTCAGGAGGCAGTTGGCCCTAGAGTGTTATCCGAAATCAGCTCTTCGGCTCTCACTCAGCAGTGCACACCCTCCATGCGGACTCCGACTGCTGACTGATCCGTGTGACAGAGCCGCAGGTGGTGGACAACACCATGACAGAGCCGCAGGCAGGGGGCCGGTCGACCATCAGTCACACCGTGTGGGCCGCGTGCGTCCGAGGCCGACAGCAAGTGCAACATAGTGCGATCTTCATTCCATCAAACTATGTATCTAGTAGCAAGCATTGCCAATTCGGAATTCAATTGCACATAGTCGCGGGCAACTGCCTATGGCACGCCAAGTCGAGGAAAAGAGTATAGCAAGCATGAAATAGCAAGTTCTTAACAGCTATTTTCTTCTTTTCCATCTCTCGACAGTCCATCTTCACCACCACCGGTGCCAAACTCAACCACTCTCTTCAACCCCCAAACTCATGGCCCCACGGTGTTTCAAACACGGCGCCACGGCTCAAAGGAGGTTCGACCGGTAGCCGCACCGGTTCGGGCGGACCGGTTCGGGCGCTCCGCATGCTGCGGCTGCATTGGGCGCTCAGCGGTGAGCCCGTGGCCCATTTAGAGGCCGAAGAGGTGGACACTCGGAGGTGGTTGGGAAGGAGAGGTCGGTGGAGGTTGGGAGGACCAAAATAGCATGGAGTAGGTGAAGCAGAAGCCCCATGGTTCCTTTTGACAACATACATAGAGATCATCATAGATCATAGATTATCATAGATGTTTTAGTTTTAAACATTGCATGTCATGTGCTTCTCGTCCGTGCTTTTGGAGGCACATGGGGAGTGCTTTGAAACCAAACAATTGCATACAGACATGTTAGAAATATCCTACCAGCACCTTCCAACACGTCTCCTTTGGTGGCTTTTGCAGACTTAAAAGTGGCAGGTGGTGACCTGGTGGAGGGCGCTGGTAGATTATGCTCAGTCAAAGACTAGCCATTTGTCCTGTAACCTAAGCATTTTCCTCACATGTATCATGATTGTAAATGTAAGAGTCGCTATTGATTCCCAACGAATATCAGGGGCACGTTTAGAAGGAGAGCTGACCCATGGTCATGGTGGCCCATCAATCTTTTTCACAGTTGGCCAGAATTTGCCGCCTGAAAGAAATAGACCTGCGGAAAAGCAATGTGTCCAATGCATTTTGAGATTCCAACCGATGGCCTCCAAGTACATGATGTTTAGGCTGGGTTCGAGGCACGGAAAGATTCAAAGATTTCATCAAACACGGACAAACAATACAACCGGCAGGCTAAGAAGCAAATGCTGTTTTGCCGGGGCTTTAGTTTGTTCTCTACTTTTTGAGGTGTTGGTTTTTGTTAGTGTTTATGCCTATTTCCCCCTATTTGATGTGTTTACAGAATTAAAGATAAAACAGGATACACGTGGAAAGAGGTTATGGTCCTGGCATTGGAACCTGCTTGCTTTTGTCTCCTTATAGCTTATATTTGGTGCTTTCGTGCGTTTGTTGCTTTACAGTAACTGCTTAATAGACTATTGTTGTTTGTGTGGTCTATTGTTTGCTGGTCATGTCCTGCCTGCCTTCTGTGTAGGTTTTGCAGTTCACGAGTCCAACTAACTCTGATGAGTTTTTGTTTTTTGTTGGGGTGTGGACGTTCGACGAGTTTTTGAAATATCAGTGTTGCATTTTGGAAACGATGGCTGACTACTAAGGAAGGCAAATGTGTGAGAGTCCTGAAAACACAGCTGGCAATGACCATCGGAGTAACAAGATTCCGACAGAGATGGTTCAACCATGAGCTCGAGGAGATGCCAGATGACATGAACATCATGTCTCCCTCTGCGGTGCAGCTGGTGATTCTGGATTTTCTTCCACACTCAGCACAGGAGCGTCAGGGAATATGTGAACTCTGTAGGGCATGTTTGGCCAACCGCTGCGTTCAAGTTGAAGCACTGCTTCAGAGGCCTTTGAATCCAGATGAACGCAACCGGAGGGGCAACACTGCATTACGTATTGCGGCCGAGGCAGGTCACCTAGAATGTGTCACCTTGCTGCTTGAGGCTAGAGCAGATCTGGAGGCAGCAAAATCTCTAGATCCACCTCTGTATTTGGCAGTGGCAAATCGCCATTTGAAAGTTGTGCAGTTGTTGCTCGAGGCCGGTGCTGACAAAGAATGCCTCTCCCGGACCAGGGACACTGCATTGCACTTGGCAACCGCCACTGGCGACCAGAATGTGGTGCAAGTGTTGCTCGACGCGGACGCGGACACGGATGCCAGGAATTGCCAGGGAAAGACACCCTTGCATAGGGCGGTGGAGACCGGTAACGAAGAGGTGGTTCGCTTGTTGCTCGCCTTCCGAGCGAATCTCGAACAGACCACGTGGTCCGGAACAACGCCTTTGCAGTTGGCTGTCCAGTATCCAAACTCTGCCGTGGTGAAGCTCTTGCTAGAGGCTCGTGCTGAGATCGACAAGCTTGGCAGCTGTTCCATGAATGCGTTGCACTCAGCCGTGGAGTGGGGGCACTTGGAGACTGTTCGTATCTTGTTGGAGGCTCAGGTTGAACAAAATAACGAGATCTTTAATATATCTGGAAAAAAGAAAAACATATATAGTGGATGACTTAATAGGCACTGTTTTCTACATATATATGTCAATGTATGTGTGTGTCTTTTATGTTTATGTGTATCTTTCGTTTTCTTGGAGGCTCAGGCTGACCCGGGTCGGGCCACGCGTTCTCAAAAGACCGCCTTGCACTTGGCCGTTCGAGCTGAGCGACTGGAGATGATGCGACTCTTTCTTGAGAAAGACGTCGCCACAAGTGATCGCAATACATTTGCTTCTAGGTGGTTTTTGGTTTTTGTTTTGGCGTTTTTGGATATGTCTGTTTCATAGTTGTTCTTTTTCTTGTTTTACTTGGGATGATTGATTAAACTTAATCACTAATACTGTTCACGTCAGTTGAACGCACCAACCAGGCTTGCTATGCCGCCGAACGAGGCAACGTTGAGATGTTGTTGGCCTTGCTCAAGTCACAGCCTGGTCAAGAGGATCGACCGAAACGGGAGAGATTGTTGCATTGGGCGGCTGAGAAGGACTACCCTGAGCTAGTGGACTGCTTGCTGCAAAGTGACGTCACTCTTCATGGCAAAGCCGCTGCGTTGCAGTATGCAGCCTGGAAGGGGCACACATCGGTCGTGCAAATGTTGCTAGAACACCGGGCCGACAAAGAGCAAACGACCATGGATGGGAGAACAGCTTTACACTTGGCTGTCGCACAAGGCCACCGCGAAGTCGTTAAGCTCTTGACATAATTTAGATGAAGACAGCAGCATAGAAAGGCCTGACAAAGACTAGTCTTTGTGACACTTAAGCGTTTTCTTTTTTCAATTTCACATGTGCTATTCCCTAATGGCAGCCAGTGTATCACACTCCTACTGTGCAATCTTGGGCCTTGCATTCACTCTGTTTCACTCCGCCGGAAACCTCGCGACAGAGAAAAAAAGGCACAGCATGGCGCAGCTACGTGCAGCTGCCAGTCAAATATCACAGAGTATCTGGAAGGTCCACTCATGTGGGCGAGCTAGGTTGCAGATCACCCTAAGAATCGGAGGCCCTTCTCCAATGGAAACGGAGGCTCCGTAAAACAGAAACGGCACCTTAGATGTCTTGTGATGTCTTGTGGAAAGCCCATCCGCCCGGATCCGCCCATCAATGTATCATCAATGCATGAGCCACCGTTGAAGAATCGAAGCAGTCCTTACCAGGATTTACTTCAATAGGCAGTCCTTAGTGGGAAGTTGAAGTATACATCATCATAGATGCGTCCACCTATAGTCCTTGTCACAGGTCCGTTTCGGTGCGGACCGGAGCCGTTCACTAATCAGGCGCGAGATGGCCAGTGCCAAGCAGGGCAGCCCTTGGTGTGGACGCCCGCATGTGCACGCACGCCATGCGTGCGCCGGCCGCCTTCGTCCGTTTTGTAGGGAGCCGGTGGTTTTAAGCTTGGCAGCTCGGGGTTTCTTGGGTCGCATGAAGAGTCCAGAGGTAGTTCCTGGTCATGCTATTGACCTGTTTGTGAGGATTGGCTTTCCATGTGAACCATGAAGAGGTGGAGAACAGATACAGCAATGAATAGTAGTGATTCACCCAGACGTGACCCTGGATTTTTGTAAGTAGCAGCCGTAACCATAAAACCAGGGGTCCGGACCCAAACCAACGCCCCCTAGGGTGTTGAGGGACCGTTTGGAGCGTTTGGAGCGTTTGGGCAGATTCTTCCTGAGAACTCGACCGACCTTTTCGCTGATTGAAGCTCTCCAGACGCTCACGCCACCAGTGCGAAGAATTGGTCTTTTCGAAGACGAAGCACTCTCAACTCAACAGGGTGCGATTCAACTGTCTCTTATTCTACCGATGACGGGTGGTTTGGACTCCAAACCACCCGTTTTGGACGTTCAGATCTGTTCCAAGTCTGTGCCTACCCACCAAAAAAGTGAAGAACTTGCCAAACCGACCTGTCTTTTCCCACTCAACCAGAAAACGGGTGGACACTGCGCGGCAGTGCCACCGCCCGGAAAACGTGCAGACCGCCCTTCTAGTCACGATCCGTCGCGGGCTGTTGAGGTCGCCGAAGAGGCGGAGGTTCAATCGGCCTGGGGCCAATCGATGGGGTGCGGTGCCCCAGTTGGGGGCGTTAAAAGCGAAGCGGTGTGTGCTCTATACGTAGAGGTTCAAATGGTACAGATGTAGTTCAGATGAACCAGTCACTGTTACAATACTCAGACGCACCATGTAAGGAGTAGTTATAGATCTATATATTATATTATGCCTACAATATGCCAACATTGACCCCTTTTCAACCACCCCAATGAATGTAAATCCCAATGTATATGTAAATATGCCACACATGGAGTGTTTGGGTATAGATCTTGCTACTGGGTACAGCGCGCTTAAGTGGTAGCACGCCCTGGTAGCGGTCGGGTGACTTTCGACCCCGGGTGACTAACAGTGAGGGTCGCCTCGGTTGGTTCGAACGTAGGAGACAAAGAGGATGTCTCGGAGCGCGAACTCCACTCTGGTACCCCTTTGGTTATGGTGACCGGAAGATGTGCTTGGTGGGCTAACCAATGCAGGTTTTAAACGAAAGACTGGGCAAGAAGCAAGAGCAGTAGGACCTGAGTGTGATCGCCTCAATCCCTGTGCAAAAAGAGAATATGTATCACAAGTGTGGTATTCTCATGCAGGTCCTTCGAGACACCTGGCTTCAACATGGCCGACAGATCTGTACATTGTTGAATGAAGCTTGCATTCCCAGACACGACCTGGGACTGGCATATTGACATAGACTGGGGTGGTTGACATGAGTTCAATTGATCGGCATGTGGCATATATACCAGTCTCCTGGCGTGTCTTACACCATCCACACTCCAGAAACGGTATTTTGTGATTCCTTGGGTTTACATCTCTTCCCCATAGAACAGCAAGCCTTGCAATGCCTCCAAGAGGATTATACTTATGAGAATCTTACAGCCACAGACTGGGGGTGGACAAAACATTTATTTTTTCATTTCGTTTTCGTTTTCATCATCATATTTTTTCATGCCCATTTGTGTCTTTTTTCATGTAAATGTGTGTTTTCGTTTGCATCATCATTTTTTTTACACGCCCACCCGTGCTTTTTCATGCGTGATTGCGTTTATCGTTTGCGTCCCCTGAAGCTAAGGCTGCCAAGTCACTTACTCCTGAACCCTCTTTGCTACCCGCTGCTACCCTGGTCGGCTAGTCACTTTCTTCTATTTTGCTTTAGCTGTTGTGAAATGTACTTAAACTGTCGTTCACGCGTTGCCGAAACTATCTGAACTTAAAACAACGTGAACAGACTAAATTATATACATGAACACATGAATTAAATTACTGTACAATGTTGCCAATGTGTGGCCGAAACTAGCCAAAGCGATCATGAAAGACAAAAGAATGCTGGAGCTCAATTGCAATTGCCTCCCCTGAAGGAAAGCGGCCAAGTCAGCTAGTCCTGAACCCTCTTTGCTGGTGGATCACACATGTCCGTCTATTTTGCTTTAGCTTTTGTGAAATGGACCTGACTATCGTTGATTTGTGGCGCAAACTAGCCAAAACGAAAAAGACATGAAAAAGAAAACAAAAAATAAATGAAAAGCAAACACGAAACGAAAAAAAAACGAAAAAAAAATGAAAAAAGACACAAAAAATAAATGAAAAGCAAAAACGAAACGAAAACGCAAAAAAAATGAAAATTTTTGTTCGCTCAACAATTGCAATTTTCCTCGAGTTTTTTTCATTTTTTTTTCGTTTTTTTTTTCGTTTTGGCTAGTTTCGGCTAGTTTCGGCCGAAAAACGAAAAAAATGAAAAAAAACTCGAGGAAAATTGCAATTTTTGAGCGAACAAAAATTTTCATTTTTTTTCCGTTTTTTTTTTCGTTTCGTTTTTGCTTTTCCTTTATTTTTCGTTTCTTTTTTCATTGTTTTTTCGTTTTTTTTGTTTCGTTTTTGCTTTTCATTTATTTTTCGTTTCTTTTTTTTCATTTTTTTTCGTGTGGCATTTTGGTTTTCATTTGCTTCTTCATTTGGTTCATCATTTATTTAATTTGTGATGTTGGTTTTCATTTGGTTAATAATTTTCTTATCATCTGTCATTTTGGTCTTCATTTGGGTCATACTGTTTATATTGTTTCTGACAATTTCGTGTGCTTTTTTAGTTTTCATTCAGGGCTGTCTCTTCACTAACCTGTTTTACTTCCCATCCCTGTATGACAAATTTTTAGGCCACTAGGCCACTAGGCTCAGGCTTTTGGGGCCCAGTGGTTTAGCTCAGCAGCTTGCAAGTTGCATTCCATGATTTTGATCCTTGGTTTCGATTGCTCGGGAAGGGATGGGTGAGGGAATCCCTTCACGCATTTATATATAGTTTGAGGCGCTGACTGTGACTGAAGTGGTTTTGGAAGCCCATAAAAATGACAGCAAAGCCAACCAGTTCTGGAAGGATGAACATGACGCAAAAAAATGATAATCCCAAAATAAATGAAAATAAAACAAAAATATTTTGTAAACAAAATGATGATCTAAATGAAGATCTAAATGAAAAAAAATAAAAATCAACTTTCCATTGCCTGGCTGGCAAAGATTGACTTAAGATTATACAATGGCCACAGCTTGTTTGAAGGCCTTTATCACCCTAACCCTGACACTATCTGACACTCATCTCATAAATATGTGAAGCCTTGCTCCTGAAGCATTGCTTTGCACAAAAACCTTGCTCAATACAGGCCACAGAATCCTGGCAAAGGGAGGAGTTAAAGGAGAAGTTGCCACCTACCCCAGGACAACTGGACAACCTGCCTAACATTGCCCAACAATTTGTGCGGATTGGGGACACCCCACGAGAATCCAGGTGAACAGGGACTGCCATATATGCCTAGGCCTACATATATCCGTGGTTTCGGGGGTCGATGGTCCCTGGGGTCGGGTCCCGTCCAGGTCTTCCACCACCGTGGTCGGTCGGACGCCTCAGAGGCGAAGGCTTCGTTCCGGGTCGGTGGGGGCAAAGGAAGAATCACAAGACTATATAGATGAACTGAATGTGATTGGCTTTATGCTCAATACATTGGCTTTATGATCAATACATTGGCTTTATGATCAATAATCTGACTTGTATGTTATTGACCACTTACTGATCGATACTTGTTATACAGAACGAACTTATTGTTTTGGTTATTATTGATAAGTTTGGCAATAATGGAGTCTAGTTCTGAGCTACACCCCATACCTCCTCATGAGGAATAGTAGAAGAAGCCGTTTCCGAACTGTCCGAATCCTTCCTTCCTTCCGCTGCAGAAGCTCGTTCTGCTTCTCGTACTGCTCTGGGCAACCAACAATTACATTCTGACTCAGTAACATGGAAATAGAGAGCCACCTGTTTGTAGAGGAACATGGTCGGGAGTGTGAAAGACTTCCATATTTCTTCAGGGAGTGTGAAAGACTTGTCTCCTTTCCGGAGATGAATAAACATGATGTCGGCACCGGCACCCTTTAAGACTGGACTTGTTCCTTGAGCAGTTGCAGTGTGGTTCTCTGCAACATTTTGCTGACAGTGAGTCGGCGTTTGGAGGATGTTTTCCGTTTGGGCTCCTCTCCCACATCCGAAGTCGAAGGTGGCACTGGGGTGGCTGCCGAGGGGGATTGGTCCCTACCGTCTGAGGATGTATTGATGATTATGGAGCCATGTAAAAGATAACACGAGGTAACACATGTTTAACCCGCCTCCTTCTGAGGATGTGTT